TCATCAGGAGGCATGTGATACATCTGATGTATAGGTATATTTATATAATGTTAATAGCGAAAAAAAACAACAACAACATGAAATAAAGGCAGGTATTGAAATCTAGATGCACTCTCTTAGTTGCATCCTAGAAAATACATACAAGGTTATTCAAAACTTCCTTTAAAAAGCCATATTGGCCGGGCGCGGTGGCTCAAGCCTGTAATCCCAGCACTTTGGGAGGCCGAGACGGGCGGATCACGAGGTCGGGAGATCGAGACCATCCTGGCTAACACGGTGAAACCCCGTGTCTACTAAAAAGTACAAAACATAGCCGGGCGAGGTGGCGGGCGCCTGTAGTCCCAGCTACTCGGGAGGCTGAGGCAGGAGAATGGCGTGAACCCGGGAGGCGGAGCTTGCAGTGAGCTGAGATCCGGCCACTGCACTCCAGCCTGGGCGACAGAGTGAGACTCCGTCTCAAAAAAAAAAAAAAAAAAAAAAAAAGCCATATTAATCTTTACAACTTAGCACAAAATACACTGAAAATCACAATTTCTATAAAAGTTAAGCTACTTATTCATATTACGTGTGCAAATCAGGGCAGCCTTTTCAAAACTATTCTTAAGTATACAATATTGAAAGACAAAACTAAATTCAAATTCACCATAACTATACCATTTCAGTGTAAACAGAAAATTGACACTTATTGTCCCACACAATATTTGAGTCAATTTACTGTCCTCTGATGACAATTAATCATGCATGGTAAGCATCATTAGAGTGGCTGAAAACATTTCTTAAGCATAAAACAAACAAAAAACTAGCAAATAACAGGGCCTGAAAACAGTATAAGCATTGTTTTCTAAGTCTTACTCTGGAACAATGACTTTTAGCCATTGTCTTTAAAAATAAAGGACTGATTTCAATTTCATATCCCCAGTGTTTGAAAGTGAAGTGATTTCTCTGTTCAAAGTTTATACCATTTTTTCCTCTTCTAATCTGAGTATATTTTAGACTCTTATAGAAAAGTTTAAGTTTCCTGATCTCTAAATGCATTAAGGCAAACACTATTAGATCCACCAGCCTCTAATATGTTTAAGGACCACGGCTCATAGCAGTTATGCAGTTAGCTTCTGTAACTATCTTTGAATTCATTATCATATTGAAATAAAATTACTTTTTTTTTATCCTTTAGCGGTTTTAGAAAACAAATTGCAATATCGCGGATTGAATCACAAATACACCACTTTGCTAAGTAAAATTTAAATCACCTACCATTCATCAATGGAGATAAGAATTTTAAGAATTTCTAATTTAAAATGAAAGGTAAAATTTGACATTTTTATTAAAATTACCCTAATATATCCTTGAACAGTTCAAGAATACCCATAGTGTAAGTTTGAGTATAAATTCAACCCAACTACTGTATCCCATATACTCATGCTTTTTACAGATTCACTATTAATGATAATATAAAGTCTAAAAATAAAAGCTATGACTAGGTATTTTAGCAAAAGACTATCCTTTAAACAATTCATCTATACTTATTCTGTTTTCTCTAATAAATTGATCTGTTCACCCGAAAAAGAGTTAAGTTAAACATCCATGACTGTAGCACAATACAATGAAACATAAAAATAGGTAGTATATTTTACTAATTGACATGGCACACTAAAAAGTAAATATTTCACAATTATCATAATGAATCAACAATGAAAAGGTTCATAAATTATAGACAGAAATATAGACAATAAATGATATGTTGGTAAAATGTTTAAGAAGTAAAATAACATGCACAGAAATCACAGAGCTGAGAAGTTTGGTGCTGATGGGAATAGAGGCCTGATGATGCATGATATGCATACAACAAACATTGGCTGGATTTATTAATGAATAGCTCCAAAGTCTATCCTCCAAATTCTTAAGAAAATTATTGTGGCCATTGAGAAAAGAAAGTCTGTCTGTATATCACAAATACATTTCAGCCTCTCAAGTATTATTTCTGAGAAGAGAGCCAAGTTCTGTGAATATACTTGGTAATTTCTCATAAAGGTAAAATTAAGCTGCAATTTAATAATAACTGGTCTTGTGTATAAATATAAACTGAAATAAAAATAAATGAATTTAATTGTTCTTTTCTGTTTGAGAAAATGACTCAGCTTTAATCATAACAAAATCTCCCCTATATCCTCAAAAATTAAAATTTATGATTAAATTAAAGCTATGATTAAAATGTAAAAGTGGTAATTTTTATAAATTAGATCCAGATATGTCATTATTACATGAGTATTCAACATAGAAGGATTCCTATTTTATCCCCACAAACTCAACTGAGTCAGCTGAGTCAGAAATCCTATGACCTTTATGTCAAAAAGCCTATTAACATTATTTCATCTCTTTAACTCTCACAATAATCTTGTAATTATGTAAAGGAAAGTTTCTTTACTTTGCAAGTGGAAAAACTGAAATCATAGTCAGGGAAAACATTTGGCTGAGTGTGATTCACAAAGTAAGTCTCAGACAGCAGGCTAATATTCACAATCTCAAACTCTTAAATACAGAGGAAATATGAAACACATGAGTTTGTTTGTTTGTTTGTTTTCAACCATTTAACCCCTAAGCCCACAATAGTAAACCTACAACCCACTTCTCTGAAGAAAAAAAAAAAGAGAGAGAGATGAAACATAACTTTAATACATAAAGAAGAGTCTGAGAAGGCTTTGAGTTTCTGGCTGGTTTGGAATTAGGAAGCAGTAAAGGGCAAATGTGTGAAATACTGAGACCATCTCACCTTCTACTTCTTCACATGAAACAGCAAGATCTGTTTATCAGGATCACTTTTGACAAGCACAAAGAAGTCATGCTGGATATGTTTTCTACTTTAATTCCATGACTCCAATCTATGCTGGTTGAGAATATCTAATTGAATTATTCAATTTAGGTAGAAAACCATCTGCTCAAACCCCTAAGTCTTCAATTCTTGCTGCTATGAAAACAAAGTAAGGCCAAAGTCAAGGAATTGAAGTTGCAGCAAATCTCGTCCAAGGAGACAAATAGCAACAAAGTGTGGGCATTTGCAAAGTCTGATCAGCACAAACAGCATCGGGCCCCCAGCTATTCCACTGCAACACTGATAAGGAAAGTTCAGACTTTGCTCCCGGAGTCCTTTTTGTAATTTCCTCAGTCATATCCAACTGCACTCTATGTTTAGTTTATTTTTTTGCCAAACAGACTGATCTTAGCCACCTAAAAATTCTCATTGCAAAAGAAACCTCTTGTTGAAACCCCAAGTACAACCGACAGCCCCTTTCCAATTATCCCCTGCAACTTCCCCAGTCTCTTTCATGCCTAGCTACTGAGCTCAGTCTAGTTTGGCTGCCGGCCAGGTTCCTCTCTTTTTTTTCCTTGTCAGTCGTAAAAACTTGGAAAACACTCCTGGACAGCTCAAGGAGACCTTTAATTATGCAGTGGGGCAGTACCTTAGCCTGTCTGCTGTTTCCAGCAAAGCTTGTAGTCACCAGCGACTGCACTCTCCCAATTCATGGGTTTTCCAACAAGGCTACTTGTTCATATGAGGGGAAAAGGGAAAGGCTGACAGAGAGAGGGAGTAATTTGCAAATCTGAAGAATTTCCAATTCCTCTCAAAGTTTTCTACTTCCTCACATTCACTCTGTCTAATAATCTCCCTTACTTCAAGCACCTAATCACCCATTTTGTAATACAGACACAAAATCATCAGTATTGTGGTCTCCTGCTAGTCCTAGAATTGAGTCATGACTTGAACATTCTCCGTAACTTTTTATTCTCAAATGTTGGTGTAACATATTTTAAAAGCAGGCACAAAATGAATTTATTAAATCCTTCCAAATTGCATTATATTTTGTCAAACTAGCAGATTGAAACAGTGCATGTAAAATGTCTGATTGCAAATGAGAGTAAAGCGAGCTCAGCTGGGAAACAATACTAGGACCCAGGGAGGGGAACCTTGACTGCCAGTCCTCACTTACTTGGAGTTTGCCCAACGTACCAAGTGGACCCGCCAAGCCCAACACCAGCTAAGTCTTCCTTACTCTACCTTGGCACGCTAGTTCCAGCTGCAGCGTCCAGCTTCCTGTTCAAGTCCCATTCAATATCGTAAACACATTCCAAGAAAACCAGCCTGCCCAGAGTTCCCTCCCGCACACAGGGAAGTCAGCGCGGCAGCCGCAGGAGCTGCAGAATAGAAAGAACTGACTGCTCCGGATTCTGATCCGTGTAGTGAGTAAGGCCACGAGAAGCTGGACCCGCCAAGTGAATTTAGCAGTCGGAGCGAGAACCCAAGGGTTCATCACCCCCGCCAAGCCTTGCGCCCTCCAGAAGCAGCTACTTGACCCGCGCGGCAACAGGGTAACCATGTGGACGCCGCCCCTTCCTTTTGGGCCCTCCCAGCTCTGGGCTTTAAAGTATCCGCGGCCCGGCCTTAGAGCTTCGCGCCTCCCCGCCCCCATGCCCACATTCTCTCCCTGCACCAACAAAAGGGAGGCTGCCCTGGAAGTTCGCTCTTGGGTCGCCTGGCTGTGACCCGACGATGACTTGCCTGCTCAGCCCAGTCTGATCCACGCACCCTCAGCCGGACTGATCCACGGTTGCCCCACCGCCTCCCTGCAGCTCCTGCCCACCGGCCCCCCGCCACTGGACCAAAGTTACCACAAAAGGCTAATGAGGCTTCTCGAGCCCGGAGACCGCTGCGTCCCCGACCTAGCTGGACTCCCCGCGTCATTCCTCAAGCGCTGCCATAGCAGGCGTCAACAGGTCTTAGCCTCCTTTCGTGCTGGACGACTCCCTGAGCCGTTAGCTGTCCTAATTTTTCACAACCTGCCGGGCAGCGGCTACCCGCAGCTCCGCGCCCTCCTTCCCAGGCACTGGTGGCTGGAGCTGTCCACCCCCGCTGCCCCTCGCGGTATCAGTTTCTAAGCGATTCCACGCTACCTGGAGGGAGCCGGGGCTCGCAGCCAGGGAAGAGCCCAGATCAATCTCCGTACCTCACTGAGAGATGCAGTCAGGTCAGGCTTCGGGCAGGGGCGTGAAGAGCTGCCGGGTCCTCCGAGCCTGGCGATCTCCGCTCCAGCACAGCCGGGGCGCCGTCTCCGAGGCCGAGAGGGAAAGTTTCTCTACGTCAACACGGCGCTGGACTCGGGACCCTCCAGCTTCGGTCCCCTCCCTCTTCGCGCGCTCTCCCCCCTCCCTCCTCTTCCTAATCCGCTGAATCCAAAACTGGCTCTGGCGGCAGCTGGGACGCGGGGCTCGGGACTCCGGGTCGCTCCCGGCCGGGAATGCGGGGCTCCCCCTCTCGGTGAGAAGGAAACTCTCACACACTCCGGCTTGCGCACTTCTGGCGGTCTCCTTGGACACTTCCACACGGGACGCCTGTGTTCGAGCTCGCTGACTTTCCTTCATTAATCTCCGATGGTCGTTATCTGTGGGCCCACTGGGCTATCCCGCGCGTGCACGCGGAACCGGAGGTGGGTAGAGGGTGGAATGAGGGAGAAACCCATCTGCAGAAGGAGGGGCCCTGCCGTACTCAGCCTTTAGCCCGGACAGAAGCAAAACCACAGGCCCCCGCTCCGCTCCCACCCCACTCGCGCGGTGTTTCCTTTCCAGCCTCGTCCCTGAGACACTAGAACAGGACCATTTGCCTTTTCTTATCTCTGTGTGTTTCCTAACACAATTTTAAAACACCTCTGAGGCTTCATAGAGGGGGAACGTGTCAAAAGAAATACACGAATAAGAGTAAAACGTGCCGTCTTCACAGCCTTTATCAAGAAAGCAGGCAGTTGCTGCTGCTCTGGCCGCACCTCAGCAGACTGGTTTGTCCTCATTTATTTTTTAACTCGGCCTTAATCTCTGGACTTTGTTATGCCTTAAAACAGACACACACAGACACTCACATACACACACGTGAAAATTGCCTTAACTCCCAGACCATACTAATTTGCTCCATTCAGATGCTTATCCCGGAATTAAGGACTTCTGTGTAGGATTTGAGGGAAAAAACAACAGCCCATTCTAATTGACCTTTAGTAGAGTTCTGTATGGGAAAGTGGGCGAAGAGGAGTATCCTCGCATAAGAAGTTCTTAAAGGATGAGAGGACCTTTACTAAAATTCTTGGTGCTGCTCAGAATTTAGTTTACTAAATTTTAGTTTGAGTGTGAAAATAGATGAGAAAAGGAAAAAGGCATTTTGCAAAGCTAGCAGTTATAATGTATTACAATGGATCCAGGGCTTAGAGTCAGACAGACCAGATTACATTCCAAACTCCATCCTTAGGCTTTCTGTGCCTATCAATTATAACTGCCAACAGGAATTATATAATCTAGCTCACGGAGTCACAGTCACATTTACAGGAGTTAAAATAGAGTCGTGATAGGCACAGAGAAAATAATAAGTATTTGGTTCTTATATCCCACCATGTTTTACTGTTATTAGGAGAGAAGGTGGTGCTAGAAATTTTCCCCCAAAGACCCTGTAAGTGAATCAGTTTTCTTCTCCCTAATGCTTTTTCCATTTAAAAAGGCATCACTTCACAATTTTTGAAATGGAAACTATTTGTTTACAGATTAACTAGTTCCAGCTGAACTCTGTTATTTTTAAATACAAGGTAATTGAAGTCTAGGGCTCTTGAGTGACTTTCCCCAAATCTCATAGTTTGGAGGTACTAAAGCTAATATCAGAAATCAGTCCTCTTAATAATTTGGCTAGGGTCCTCTTTTAACTGTTCTTCCCTTTATCACAACAGTCAAGCACACATAAAAATAATTATATTAATAATCTGAGGACAAATGCTAGTTGTTTTTTCTGTAAATAACTCTTAAGCAATGAATTTATGAACAATCATTAAAAATTAATGTCATTTAGATGATCACTTGGTATCAATGTGATTATAAAAATAAAACACATGGTAGTCCAGTATTTAGGAATAAGGTGGTTGATGAGATGAACAAATCCATGCTTACATTATATATTTACAGATAGATATTTTGGATTTTTTAGCCATAATATTAAAAGATTATAATAAAGAACTCTCAACTCCCAAGAATACATCAACATACCACTACGGTTGGCTGATCCTAGTTTGAGAACAACTAGATCAGTGTTCAGGACACACAATTCAACTTGAACAAGTTCAGGGCCAAAGAACAAATCAGGCTACAGAGATCAAACTTTCCATCCTGTGAAATAATGGAAAATCCCATAGCATGTATTTATTTCTCATTCATTTGCCTCTAGTACCTGGAAGAAGGTCGTTTTTAGAAATTATTCCTTGCCATACCCAATGTTGAAAATCATCTGAACTTTTACATAACTAACTCCCATGTTCTCAGAGATGAGACCCTATATCCTCCTTCTAAGTAGGAGTTATTTACTACTCCGGCCTCATCCTCAGTTTCCTAAAGGCATATCATAGCCTCTTTAGAGATCTATCTTTCCTATCCATGAGATTTGGAAGATCCTAAAGAGATTAAAATATATATATATATATATATATATATGGCTACAAAAATATATACATATATATATATATGGCTACAAAGCACATCCATCTTTAATGGATAAATGATGAAGACAGATGAGTCCTCATAACTGTCTTTTTCCAATCGTTACATACAATGCTAAAGATTACTCATTTTTATATTTTCTCCCATTGTTTAAAGTCTTTAAACTTGCTATTGCTTTGTAATTTTTATAACCTGACTTTTGATATGATCTACTTTGTGAAATGGCTCAGAGGTATAAAAATCTCAAGAGTGTCAGAACCAAGTTTTTAAAAACAATAAAACTAAATGGAACAAGATTTTAAAAGAAATTTATAGCATGCCCCAGGAAGTAAAGAAGGGAGATGCCAAAGAAAAGGGTTGCACAAGCCTGGCAGGGCACTATGATGAGAAATACGCCTAACTTTACCTATTGCAAATACCTCAGATTTCCATTTGAAAGTTTTTCACATTCATCACAGGTGCATATAGACCATGATGGAAACTCAGCAGCTTTCCAGTAATTTTAAAATTAATTTTCTTGCTCAAACCAGAATTAGGTTTCTTTTAACCTGACTAAGGGAACCTTGGCTACGACAAAAAAATGCCTGCTACTTATCTTAAGAAAAACAGTTTTATTTCTGATGATTGCAAAAGCACACAAAAATATGCTGGTTGTTTAGCCCTATATTTCTGCAAAACCAACATTTAAAGTATTTGACAACTTTTTAAAAACTGTAATGAAAACCAAGATTGAAATCCAAATTTCAGTCATGTGATTTGAAAGGGGGACATGTTTCTATTTGCCATGTGTAACAGTGACCAAATATCCTATGAGTACCTAGGGGGCTCTAGGGCTCTAGGTTCCAAAGTTATTGTGTTACATTTACCTTCAAACCTCTATCATTTTATCTGTCATTCTGAAAGAATTGCTTTATTTTGATCTTCTTGATTAAGAACATGAAACTTGACCATTGCAAAAAAAAAAAAAAAGAAAAAATAGGAGGGCAACTGCAAAAGGGAAATAAATATCACCTGTATTCCCATCACCAAGAGTACCCATTGCTCACATTTTCTCTATAGGCTCCAAGGTTTGTTGAGGGCTCTGAGAGACTCAGGTAAATAGTATCCCTTCTTTATGCCTGGGTGGGGAATAAATTGACCAAAAGAAGTTAAAAATGAGAGCAAAATATTATTCTATTATTGACAGATAACGGATTTGAATTGGTAGATCCAAAAGCAAAGAACAGAAACAGCAGCCTCAGTCACGTAGTTCCTGGCCTCCTTCTAACTTGAAAGGAGACAGTGACTTTGAAAAAGGATTTAAATTGTTTTTTGAGTTCTATTCCAAAGAATGAAAGAGAGAGAAAGGTAGCTGAGCCTGGCATGCCCCGCAATTCTTCCCAAGTTTATTCCTAAGGTTATCTACCAAATGTCATAACATCTCTCCAAGGACAAGGAAAGACCAGTCCTCTTAACCAGTAAAATATTTTTGCATGGAAACCAGGAGTAGAGGAAAGGCATTACTCAGCACCCACAGCCATTTAACATTTTTCTTTCCATTAACGATTTTCTTTCCATTTTTTTCATGTGGAACTGTAATGTACATACTACAATTTCTTTTTTTTCTTGAGACAGAGTCTCGGTCTGTCGCCCAGGCTGGAGTGCAGTGGTGCGATCTCGGCTCACTGCAAGCTCCGCCTCCCGGGTTCACGCCATTTTCCTGCCTCAGCCTCCCGAGTAGCTGGGACTACAGACGCTGCGCCACTAGGTCCGGCTAATGTGTGTGTGTGTGTGTGTATTTTTAGTAGAGACGGGGTTTCACCGTAGCCAGGATGGTCTCCATCTCCTGATCTCGTCATCCGCCCACCTCAGCCCCTCAAAGTGCTGGGATTACAGACGTGAGACACCGCACCCGGCCCATACTACTACTTTTTAACAATATAGCATGGGCTTTTTTCCCTGCCAGTGTTTATTAATAATTTTTTGCTATTACAAACAGAAATGATGGCCATTTGTTCATACGTATTTTGTATGTCATCTGTTCACATATTGTGCCTATCCCTTACAGTTATTTCCTTAGAATAAATACCTACAAGTAGATTATCAAGTTAGAGTATAGACTTTTTATTATTTTGAAAATAATCTCACATTATAGAAAAGTTACAGAGTACAAAGATTTATTTTTATTTTTACCTGAACCATTTTAGTATAACTTGCCATCATGATACCTCATCCTTCCCAAATCCTTTGTGGACTTCCTTAAAACACAGATCTTCTCCTCCATAAAGAAGATAAAACATCAAAACTCAAGAAATCAACATTCATATATTTCTACATTTAATTCTCATGTCCTATTCAGGCTTCTCCAATTACTCCAACAATGTTCTTTATAACAACAGGATCCAGTTTGGGATCACAGTTGCATGCAGTTATCATGTCTCTTTGACTTTCATGGTGTTGATACTTTTGTGTATTGTTTACTACTTACCTGGCAAAAATGTAATTTATCATTAGAGTCAGCTAATGTATTTTGGCTGATGAAAAAACGGAAGTATGATACTATATTCTTTTTTAAAAAACAATTCTAATAAGTTGTACCCAGTTTTGATTTTTTCCTATTACTAATGATCCTCACTTGATTGTCTGTCAGACTTCTCCTCTGTAACATTAACCTCTCTCTCTTTATAATTGGTCCATATTGGTGGCATTGGTGGTGTAGTGGTGAGTATAACTGCCTTCCAACCATAATTGGTCCATATTTCCTGGGGAGGCACTTGAAACTAGGGAAATACTTCATTTCTCATCAAACTTCCAATTTCTTAGTTTGTTTACTTATATTAGTATTGATACATGGCTTCCTATTTTACTTGCATAGGTGTAATCTGTTTCTATGATGATTTATTTTTGACACTTAAATTATCTCAGATTTGGCCAGACACTGTTTCAAGCTAAATTCCATATCCCTTTGCTGTGTATCTAGCATTCTGTGAGCATTTTCTCAATTTGGGGCACAAAAAGGTGTTCAAGTCTCATTTTGTATTTCCCCAGCCCCAGCCCAGGAATCAGTCATTTCTCCAAAAATTTGTTTCTTTTTAGTGAAGGATGGTATTTGGAATCTGAGCTCCGGTAGCTATGTTTATTGCTGTTAGGTTTTCTTCCTTTGCTTAGGCCCTCTCAGTAACCAAAGCCAGGGAATATATGCATGTATGCACTTGTACATATTTACATTTTTCTGCTAATCTATCTGCTTATCTATCACCTATCATCTGTCAACATCTCTATCATCTCTATCTATCATCATTTATCTATCTTGAAAGCCACGAGTTCAAACATTTACCTTCAATTGTAGTACAATACTACTTTTTATATTTGTAGCCCCCTTCTCCTCTTGTAAAAATCTGGCTTCAACTGTCATTATTCTTAATATATTTTCTTAATTAATCAATGTCCTTGTCCATACCCAATCTCCCATGGCTGTCACAGTCCCCTTTCCTATGTGCCCAGGCCACTCCTTCTGCAGGAACATCCTCATCATCCTGCTCAGATTCTTAACACCTCAAGATTGACAGCCCTCCTGTGCCCTCTTCCCTCACCTAGGGCTCTAGCACACAGTGTCAGGCTTCTCTCTACAAGGATTTCCTTTGCTTCTCGAATGGGCTCCAATTACCACACCAGGCTGTTTCTCCACTAGAACACCATTTTCATTGTACTTGGGCCTCCTCACCCATCTCTGGGCCACTGCAATACCCCCACCCTTATATCAGTGCAGATGCTTATGTTACTTGGCCCCTTCTAATAGTTTAAATACATATTGCCAAACAAATTCTGAAAAGTTTATAAAAACGTACATTCCCTTGAGCAATGTAGGTCAGTGTCATTTCCTCAACATGTGGTACTTGTGTTTTATTTATGACATATGTTGCCTATGTAGACTATAATGGACTCAGGTGCAGATGGCTGTGCTAAGCATGCTTCTTGGTGTTTGGCACATCATTAGCCTACAAGGTCCCTTGAGGATTTTATTTAAATATGTGCTTTTTCTTTGTTGAGGGGAGCTCTGAAAACATAAACAAATACAAACAACTTCATTAAATATGTACTTTTATTTTCATTTCCTCCCATTCACTGACCCAGCACAAGTATTTAATGTAATGTGTACTTTCATGTGTTTAAGGTGTACCTTTTTTTGTAAGTATTCTTTCAAAATATTTATTTTCATATGCATTTTTCATTTACCTAAATGATATCATGTAAACTATTCCATCTTGGCCCTTATTTTTTTTTTCTCCAAACACTTAAATTTTCAAGTAATCTTAGTGAAAAATTAGCAGCTCAATTGCTTTAATTTTTATTACTTTCACTGTTAATAAAACTGAATAAGTTTTCATAAAGTTAATAACTATATTTTCTTTTGTGAGGTGGCTATTTATATATTTTGTACATTTTTCTCTTTTCTCTATTGTTTCACGTATTTTTTCTTTTTCTTATTGATTTTTAAAGGTTCCATGTGTAGTAAATATATTAACCTCTAGCTAAAAAAGGGGGTATTTTTCTTATTAACTTAATTAAAATAATTAAATTATTTTGTTGTGTTTTAAAATTATGTAGAATTTCTTTAAATGTAATCTTTTTATGATTACTTGAGTTTTTAAAAAATATGATGATATTTCACCCAAACTAATTAGCAATATTTTCTTCTAGTATTTTGTAGTTTTTGTTTTTCAATTTATTCTGATGTGAAGTCTAAAGATAGGGCTTTTGTTTCCCCCAGAATAATGACCTAGGTGTCCAACACCACATATTGAATAGATCCATTCTTTGCCTAGTGATTTTTAGCAGTAATTTTTATCATATGTTAACTTAGATATGAAACAGGATCTGTTCAATCAGAACTTCCAGGTGTGGTCAAACAGCATGCAAAATTCAGTAAGACACCTAAAAAAGGCCCAGTGCAGAATAAAATCCAGCCAACTTCTTTCACCAGCCAAGCCAATGGAGCTTGCAAGCAAGAAGAAAGGGATATCTTTTCTAACTACAAAGGCATCTTCGGCTCCTAGCCAAGCACCTGCAGAGCTTCCTTGGAAAGAACTGGGCATCATGTGGGCTAATGGTAGTCCTTTCCCATTTAATGGTCAGTGTATTTCTGCAATAGAACATTATTAATTATCTCAAACTATCATTGTTTAAAATATCTACTGGGACAAATTCTCCTTTATTATTTTATCCCCTTTTCAAAGGTTTCATCACTATTCTCTCAAGATTATTTTTCCAAATGAGCTTTGGATCCATTCTGTTAAGTTTCCTTGTCACAACTTCTTATTTCCTACCTTTGACCACAAAAGTCTTCTGTTAGAAGTGTGTTCAACTCATGTATCAATTTACTTGAATTAACTTCATTATTCAATATTTTCTTCTGATTCTGAAAAAGGATGCTTTTTCAACTTGAAAAGACCTGACTCTACACCCATTCATATTATATTTTTACCCTCCAATCTATTAAATTATCACTTGTTAAGTTCCGTGTTGTTGCTAAGAGTGAAAGGGCCATTTTTCTACAACAATTGCAGGACACAAATAATACTTGGAATTGAAGACCCCTACTTAACACAAATAATGAGAGAAAGCACAGATCTTAATCAAGGGTCACGTTTCTGCTTCTTGTTCCAGTTCTCGTGCACTCTAGATTATAGTGAATGAGTGCCTTATGTGGAGTCCAGCCATGACCAAGAGACAGGAGCTAACACTCAGCTTCATGGAAAGGCCTGACCTAATGTCCAGGAATAGTCTCCCAAGGTATGCTCTTCTGCCACAGAGTTTTCCGGCCTAGAAAATTTGCTTGAAGCAGTTTTACTTGCTTGAAAAACTGCTGTGATAAGAAGATATTTTTTTCATTTGAAGATTCACATACTTAAAATAAAAAATAGAACAAAGATATTTTATTGCAAATAGAATTACGGTCTTATTTTCTTAATAGAGTAAAAATAATTGTCTAAAATGATTTTTGACAAAGGAAACTTTTTATTTGAAAATTATAATTTGCAGTCTTTCACTAGCATGCTAATTTATTAACTCTCTTCAAAATCCTGTATCAGAATTTACTCAGGCTTGCAGATAGGGCTTAACAAAAAAGCAAAGCTAAACAAGGCACCTATACACTTGGGCCTGACATAATGTGATTTGAGAAAATGTCATCATGCTTTAAAACGCAAAGGGGACATTAGCACCTATCACAACCGAACAACAAAAGACGTTCTCTCATTGCGTATCTTTTCCATAACAGGGCTAAAATAATTCTGAGAGTGGCTTTTCTGTAAAAGGCAGTCTGTGGCAAGAGTTGTTAGAACAGAGACTTGCCATGCTGGTTCTGCATCAACAGTCTCTCTAGCTCAGCAATCTGAGAATACACACAGATAAAGTGCTATCAGTTCAATGGAAATTGGCAGGTTTTCAGAGGGTGTGACTGCAGAAGACTGTTGTTCAGTTTCAAAAATGAAACCCTCCAGAAGCAATTTCAAAGTTACACAAATCTTTCACATATACTGAGAGTGCAGGTGAAGATCATCCATTTTCCACATAAAAATAAATTGCTAAGGACTTTTAAATGAACACCCCTACCTAAAATGCAGTGTTCTGTTTGGAAATCTGTACATTATACAAGTGAAGAGTATAATAAATCTTGAAAGAAATTAAATTTTTTTCATTGAAATATTTTTGTAGAGTGCCATGAGTTTGGGGGAGAACTAGTGAAATGTAAATCAACAATTTTATGAATTTATAAGACAGTTCTTAAAGTGTCAAGAAAGCTGTAATGGTTTAAATTCTATTTACTGAATTAAGCTTCAGATATTTCTTATAAAAGTGAACTTCAGGCTGTTGAGTTTTGAAGGGTGAAGCTTAGGATAAAGCTTTAAAGCATGTGCTTTGGAGTCCAAAGTCATGGTTAGAATGTATTCTTTACCCCTTACTGACTGTGAAATCTTGGACAAGTCACTTTCTTCTCTATATTAGTTCATTCTCACGTTGCTATAAAGAACTACCTGACACTGGGTAATTTATGAAGAAAAGAGGTTTAATTGACTCAGAGTTCCACAGACTGTACAGGACTCATGGCTGGGAGGCCTCGGGAAACTTACAATCATGCTGGAGGGAGAAGGGGAAGCGAGCAAGTCTTCCCATGGCAGAGCAATAGACAGAGAGCAAATGGGGAAGTGCTACTCACTTTCAAACAACCAGATCTCCTGATAACCCACTCACTACCACGAGAATAGCAAGGGGAAAATCTGCCCCCATAATCCAATCACCTCCCACTGGGTCCCTTCCCCAACACTGGGAATTACAATTCAACATGAGATTTGGGTGGGAACACAGAGCCAAACTGTATCACTCTACTTTAATATTAGTTTTCTTATTTTTGAAACAGTTGTCAAGATTGAGTTAATAAATGTAAAGCACTTAGCATAATCTGGCAAGTAAGTATAAAATAAATAATGGCTTTTCATGGAAACAAGTAAAACTATAAAAACTTTTGATATGTTAGTGAAAGTTTTCAGGAAACTGAATCAATATGGGTCAAAGTAAAAGGAAAACAATAGCTTTGGCTAAAATTAAACTCTGTTAGTTTTTTCTTGGAAAAAATAAAAGTATTTTTGGTGTTATTTTTGTCTAGAAAGAATAATGATATTTATATGCTTATTTTTATTTTTTAACCAATCTACAGAATTCATTCAGATAGCCCCAGTTTTTCTTTTTCTTTTTCAACCTTTATTTTAGATTTGGGGGTACATGTACAGGTTTTGGTATGTTGAGTGTATTACCTGGGTATATTGTGTGATGATGAGGTTTGGGGTACAAATGATCTCATCACCCAGGTGCTGAGCATAGTACACAACAGTTAGTTTTTCAGCCCTTGTCTCCCTCACCTTTTTAGTAGTCCTCAGTGTCTATTGCTGCCATCTTTATGTCCATGAGTACCCGATGTTTACCTTCCACTTATAAGTGAGAACATGCTGTATTTCAGTATTCTGTTCCTGCGTTAATTTGCTTAGGATAATGGGTTTCAGCTGCACCCATGTTGGGACATAATTTCATTCTTTTTTGTCTGTATAGTATTTTACGGTGTATATGTACCACATTTTCTTTATCAAATCCACTACCGACATGCAGTTAAGTTGATTCCATGTCTTTGCTATTGCGAATAGTGCTATGATAAACATACGAGTTTGTGTGTCTTTTTGGTAAAAGTATTTGTTTTCTTTTGGATATATACCAAGTAAAGGGAGTGCTGGATTAAGTGGTAGTTCTGAGTCCTTTGAGAAAGCTTCAAACTGCTTTCCACAGTAGCTGGACTAATTTACATTCCCCTCAACAATGTATAAACATTACTTTTTCTTTCTAGCCTTGCCAACCTCTGTTGTTTTTTTTACCTTTTAATCTAGCCATTCTGACTGGTATGAGATGGTATCTCATTGTACTTTTGATTTGGATTTATCTGATGATTAGTGATGTGAAGCAGCTTTTCATGTTTGTTGGGCGCTTGTATGTCATCTTTTGAGAAGTGTCTGTTCATGTCTTTTGCTCAGTTTTAATAAAGTTATTTGGTTGTTACTTGTTCAATTGTTTAAGTTCTTTACAGATTCTGGATATTAGATGTTTGTTGGATTCACAGTTTGAACATATTTTCTCCCATTCTTTAGGTTGTCTGTTTCCCCTGCTGACAGTTTCTTTTGCTGTGCAGAAACTCTTTAGTTAATTAGGTCCCACTTGTCAATTTTTGTTTTTGTTACAATTGCTTTTGAGGACTTACTCATAAATTTTCTCAAGGCCAACATCCAAAATAGTGTTTCCTAGATTTTCTTCTAGAAGATATCTCCAGTTTTTCTATCAATGCCCTTTCTCTATTCCAGAATTCCACATAGCATTTATGTCTCTTAGTCTCTTCTAATATGTGACAGTTCCTTGATCTTTCCTTGTCTTTTATGACTGACACTTTTGAAGGGTGATGGTTTAGTATCTCATAGAAAGTCCCACATATCAACGTTGTGTGCTGTTTTCTCATGGTTAAACTGGGGTTATAAGTTTTGGGGGAAATTTTCACAAAAGTAAAGTGTCCTCATTGCATCATATTGGGGTATGTGACATTGATATGAGTTCACACGAATAATAGTAAGTCAGTATAGATGGTGTCTGCCAGGTTTCTTCAATGTAAAGTTACTATTTTCCCTTGGTAATTAATCAATATTTGGGGAGACATACTTTGAGACAATACAAGTATGCTGTTTCTCCTTAAACTTTTACCCACTAGTTGTAACATGTATTGGTAGATATTGCCTACAAGATTTCCATATATCCCCTAACAATTTTTATATATATATACACACATACATAATTATATATAAAATATATAAAAATGTATATACTTTATATATTATATTTTATATATAATTCACATATATACATTGGAATTCTTTTGTAAGGAAGAAGCATTTCTTTTTTTTTTTTTGAGACAGAATCTGGGTCTGTCGCCCGGACTGGAGTGCAGTGGCCAGATCTCAGCTCACTGCAAGCTCCACCTCCCGGGTGTACGCCATTCTCCTGCCTCAGCCTCCCTAGTAGCTGGGACTACAGGTGCCTGCCACCTCACCCATCTAGGTTTTTTTTATATTTTTTAGTAGAGACGGGATTTTACTGTGTTAGCCAGGATGGTCTCGATCTGCTGACCTCGTGATCCGCCCGTCTCGGCCTCCCAAAGTGCTGGGATTACAGGCTTGAGCCACCGCGCCTGGCCAGGAAGAAGCATTTCTTTTCCTTCATCTACAGTCACCTTTTAGCTTAGTTCAAATCTTAAAATAATGTTTGCTCAATGAACTAGACTAAATGGACATTTAGGGAGCAAGAATGATGGAGATCAGACCTGCCCCAGAAGTTCCATCACCATTCATTCAGCATTCAGTACTGTGTTTCTAATGTCAGGCACTGAGCTAGTATAGGAAAGATGATGATGAATAAGTACAGCCTCTACCCTTAAGGAGCTCACAGCCCAGTAGAGGGAAACACAATGTAATAAATAAAATTATAAATAAATGTGGTTAGGCACTAAAACAGATATATATTTCTTCATTGTGGGCAAGATAGAGTAACAATTTAGAAAGCAGTCATGTTGTCAAAATGCGAGCTGAATTTTGAAAGGTGATTGTGTGTATAGCAGGTAGACAAGAAAGGGAGAAACATTTATGGCAGAGGAAATAACATTATCAAAGCCTGAGAAACTTGAAATAGCAAGAGAATATGAAGAAATTAAAATAGCTTAGTGTGTTGGGGAGCATTAGATCAGGGTCTCGAACTTTATAGGGAATGGTATCTACTGCAAGTCTTATTATGGACAATTTTGTTTTAGAAAAAGCACTCTGGTGACCATTTAAGAGAAGATACTGAAGCTATGTGAGATTGGAGGTAAGAAAGGCCAATGAAGGGAGTTGGATTCTCTTATATCAAACTTATTATCAGGTGTCTGATCTGCTAAATACAAAAGGGTGTAGAAATGACAAACTTTAGAGTGATGTGATTTTTATATTGTATTAAGAGAACATACCAGGGAGAGGGTCTTACAGCTTTGATTTTTCAAAGTGAATTTTCAGCTCTGGTCATAACCCATTAACATGTTTGAGTACCTTAAATTCCGTGTTATTAGGATTTTCAGTACTGCTGGCTACTTAGAACAGTTAGTGTCATGATTATGGAAAAAAATCTAGATTTGTTGGACACTGCTTTTGTCTAGCTACCTTCACAGTCTTACA